TAGGCGTATTGTTTTATTGATGAGGCTCACTGTGATGACAAAAGATCCCTAGGCAACAACGTTAATACTATAATAACCCCACTGGTACATAGGCTCAGATAAACCTTATAGTTGTGGTGAGAAAAATCTGTTATATTTGCTAGTGACTGACAATACTTTATGCACTTGTTGACGTAGCATAGACATGGACATTGAAATCGTCACAATATGTCAAATTCAAAAGGCCTCATTTTTTTACACCCTGTACATTAGGCCATGGTAAATAAAAGAAATTTTAATGGTAAAATTTGCCGTTAATGTAATTCTGGTCATCCTTAAATTTGTCCGGGTATAAAGTTTGATATTTTTATCAAGGTTTATGATTGGTTCAAAGTACAATGAACTACAGAACGCTATGAAAATGTCAAATTTGAAAAGCAAGAATTGAATTTTATCACAAACGTCTAAATAACCCATTGCCGGGAGAACTTGTTTTATTTATGAAAGGCTTTAAATTTTAAATCTTACTTTACACCATCTTTGTAGTTCTCCATATTTCTTCTCTAATGAAAAGAACGCAACTTGTAACACTTCTGGGACAAAATGGCAAAGCTATTACTTGAAACTGCGCAGATGACTAAAGCAATGTATTCAAAAATAATAATACTAAATGAAGAAGCGCTATCAACATCAGTGCATAAGCTGGCTGCTTCAGGCTGCCATGCTGCTATGACTCACTGAAAAGCAGAGAATCGACAAAAAATAAATAAATAATTTTTAAAGAAGATATGGACCTCAAAGATCTACAATAAACACTCGAATTGTCATTCCAAACGTCGTTACAAAACCATTAATGTACGCTAAACTACAAAATATTTTATCTTTCTTCCATTGAACGAAGGTTTTTCCAACAATACCAAATACACATACATTGCGACAATGCATGGGAAAGCAATAAGCTTCCAAAAAGATAGGATTGACATATGGCTGACCAACTAAACATTCCTAATATGTATATGTGAGTTGAAAGAGACCAATCAGAAACATGTTGTAAAAATACTTAACATGTTCAATAATTTCTTTTTCAGTGAATAAACAAAAAAACAATATAGCTAGCGCAGCATTAGAGTTGTGTGAATAGGCACGTTTTCTTTGATAAAACATAAAAATTATCTAAGTTGGTCAATTTATTTGACGCAAAACCATATTAGAGTCTTGAAATAAATTATTTCACTAAATTGAGAAAATTTCAGAAATTGAGTAAGTTATCATCAATTCCCGTTGATTAAATGTTTGCTGATAGCAAAGGTACTAGAAATTTTTTGCAACAATTAAAAGCAGAAAACATGTTATCATTTCCAAAACAACATACCAAGTATGGTAATTTCAAGATTTTTCTCGTTTTTTTAACTAATTTGAATCTTTATAAGATCCACAGTTGTTTGTGGAGTATTCTACATATGAAGAATTCAATGCTTGTACGGCCGAATTTGTAAAGAAAATAGTTTATAGTAGATGCCTATAATAAGCTTTCATTAAGTGTTTTAGTCGGTGTAAATGTTTTCATCGTCATCAGCTATATTATGAACTTTTACAACAATATAATCTATTTTTATGTGCTTAAGTAAACTACACTCAAAGATTACAAACTTAGAGACAATATACTTCATGAATAAGAGCTTATTTTACATATCTACATAAATGAGCACTGGTGTCAAATATATCTTGAGGGTTCAAAAAACAGCTGTTTGTATTTTGATTACAGCACGAGGCCAAGTTTGCAATGAAAATATAAAAACTGTATAGAAATCTGTTATGGTGGTGATCACAAATCTAAGCCTTATAGTTGATCCCAATTGTACCTAAATAAGCCTGAAGAACAAAAGCTGTTCATGAAATTTCCCTTTATTAATACCAATTTTGTGTGATGTCTACCCAATGTCAGTTGAGAAAAGAGGTTTAACTTGACCTTCTTGATTAAGATGGATGGGAAAATATCATATGGCTACAACACCAAAACTATCTATAGAACAGGAAACATATGTAAGTGATTCAAAAGCAAACGTTTTTCGATCTGAATTAGCTTAAATTTGTCTTCCTGTGCAGCGCTTCCAAAAACACAACACTTTCCTGTCCAATACTCCATAGATTAATGGAGTGACGGCGTGCGAGCCGAGAACTCGAAAACAATAAGCAACTAATAGATTTAACAAGTTAGTTTCTGCAGAATAAAACATGTCCAACCGAGCTGTCGTGAAATAAATATGACCCAATGCAAAGCAGAAAACCGTGCTGATGCAAACGAAAAAGGTTTTACGATTCTGAGTGTGTCTTTGAAGACTTGAGTTGGATTGTAGATGAGACTGTGTGACATTCGAGAATGCTTTTAGTGCTTTTTTTTGTTTGATCAATGCTCGAGCGATTATGGAGTAAACCACAGTCATGAACATTACTGGGATTATGTAGAAACAGGCGTAAAAAACAAGCAACGTATAAATGTAATAACGACCTTCAGGACCTAAAATGCACGGTTGAGTTGCTACTTCAACTGCCATAAGAAAACCAATGATGTATGCTAAGCCACAAACGATTTTTATCTTTCGTCGACTGAAAGAAGGTTTCAATGGATGAACTATCGCACGATAACGTAAAAATGAAATGATCAACATCATAGATACTCCACTTATTTGAAACCAAACAATTGTGCGATCCATACGAACGCAGTTGAACGATGTAGTGACTCTTATGATGTATATTGGAAATATTTTTAGCAGTACCAGCAAGTCACATATCGCGAGATGCAAGACAAGAAAGTAGAAGTTCTTCTTTAACAAAATCTTTTGTTATAATAACGAAGCGATCACAAGACTATTTCCAATAACGCCAAATGAACATATCGCGACAAGTGAAAATGTATAAGCTTCCATGACGATAAAATTGATGTATCTGAGTTACGTACTAAATGTCACTACTAAATGTAGGTGAAAACGGACCAATTAGACACAATCAAAGATTATGCTGAGAAAATCCTTAATTCCAGCTGTGGATCGCGCTGCAGCTGTACTAAATGCTAATAGCTAGGTTAATTCTCAAGAATGAAATGCATTAAATCATTTAAGATTCTCTTAAATCAATTAGATTTTTTGAACTAAATTGTTTCACTTAACGTATATCAAACATTTGCTCAATACTTTCATACACAATATTGTTTTCATTAGTTAAGAAAAATGCCAAAACTATTACTATGAAATTATTATTCATACCGAGTAGTTTGTCAAAACCTCTCCTTTGTTTTACGCAATTGTTTTTCCAAGTAAAATCTATGGCTTTCCCAGTTCCGGTTGAAATTATATCAAGTCAATGTGTCATGCTTAATTGACACGACAACGTATTATCACGTTCCGTTGCTGACAAAAATACGAGTAAACATATTTCTGTCGAAATCGATAAACAAAAATTGAGTATTCAAATCAAAGTCCAGAGTTTGATGATTATAAAGTGTAATATTCAAATATTGGACCTCGAAAATATATGTATTTTATAATGGCTCATAAGGGACCGTTCCTCCATTTTTTTCCTTTCAAGTTGTGACTTATCTTGCGACTAATGTTGCAACTTAGGTTGTCACTTGGGTTGTCACTTAGGTTGTCACTTAGGTTGTCACTTAGATTGCTACTTACGTTGCCACTTAGGTTGGTACTGGCTTAGAATAAAACGCAGAATTGGTTATAAAACGCAGAATTGAAGATAAAATGCAGAATTGGGGATAAAATACAGCCTATGAAAGTATTGAGCAAAAGATTTCACGCACATTTTCCCCTGATTCGTTTTATAATGAACTCCAAGTCGACTTAATTTTTTTTCTTAATTATTTGACTTAATTAATTTTCCAGGCGACAAAATGTTTATTGCAATCAATTCTTGCTTGATTCTGAAGATAACTACCGCTAAGGTTGTCAAAACGTCAGACAACATCAACACCAACATCCTTATCAGAACTCTACTAACCTGTAAAATCCACACACATGTAAAAAAAATTCCCGTAGCGTATTTGTTTGTAGCTACGACCTTTCCTATTAGCAAACATTTAATAAATGGGAGTTATTGACAATGAATGGTACTTTTCTCAATTTGGTGAAATAATTCATTTCAACAGAATCTAATATGGGTTTTTGTCATAGAAAATGGCCAATTCATAATAATTTCTACGAGTTCTATTCTTAAAGACGTGCTTATTAGCACAGCCGTAATGCTACGCTATATTGGACTTTTGTTTATTCACTGGAAAAGGAATTACTGAACGGCAGTGAAGTTCTTTGATATTTGGTTAAACAACTTTACAGTACAACTTTTCAAAATTTCAGATTTATCTGTTCTAACCTACATTTAATAGTCACAATTTATATAAATGTGTTATATCAATGATATCGTTATGGATATTTTTAATATTTTCCATTGTAACAAGATGTGTATTTGACATTATTGGAAATCCATTTAAAACATGAAATAAAGAAAATCGAGCTCTCCCATACATTAAGTAGCTCAAATTGATTAAGTATATTATTATGAAAGTCGTCCCTGTGTGGCATATAGCAATATGAGTATTTGGTATTGTTGGAAATACACTTGTGATAGCAGAGGCGGATTTAAACTTAGTCAACTAAGTCGGGCGACTAACGTATTAACGTGTCACTTTCAAAAAATTCCGTGGGTATTCCTTAAATTATAACACTTGAGTGCTTTAAAATTTCCGCAGGATTTGGGTCCATATACCGATTTTGATTGGTTTAAATTGATCAATTTGCGAGCATTCATTGGTTAGCGTATCGTGCAGGATCTGCAGGATCTATGTTCATTCTGTGATTCTGATTTGCCCAGACGAACCAGCTATATAGCTGTAATTGATGGAGATTTCTTGCAGGATCTATACCAATTTAAAGCTTGTGATTGGTCAACATTGTTAGTTTTTTGCAGGATATATCTATTTTTGGTATAAGATGTTGCCGAATCTTCGGATTTGATTGGTTGTTGTAGCGAACTTAGTCGGAATATATTTGTCTGCTTCATTGCGCTTGAATATTTATCGATCGTCATGGCTAACTCTAGCAGTATTTTAGATCGGGTTCTCTCTGACTTAAAAAAAAGTGATGATGTTGCTTTGCTTAAGACCTTTGAGGAATTATGTGGTATATATAATTCTTCTCGTTTCTTAATGCCTGAAGAGCATTTTCCTTTAATTGGACGATCTTTGTATCGTGATGTAAATGCTGAGACAGTCTATTTGCCTCATCATGTGAAGGCCGACAATACGAAGCCATCGGTTGCTCTAAGGTAAAATTAGTTAAATTAAGATAAGTAGAAATGAATATAAGCCTAATTGCGTAGTTGTTATGACACGTTAAGACCAAAACTGCCGATTTGTTGTCATTTCATTGTTGTTGAAATGATCGCTTTTAACTCGCTTTGTTGACATTGCATAAATTGTTGCAGTCTTATAATAATCAAGAAATCTTTCGACTGCTGTTTTATTAGATCTGAACCATCTGGAAATTGTCTATACAGCTCTGCTTCTCTGGCCTTGGTTGGAAGCAATGCTCTCATTCACACTTTGAGAGCTATGGTATCTATAGAGCTTTTTATATATGCAAATTATTATTGTTATCATCCAATATTCACTTCCACCTTAGAGAAGCATGGTGACAAGGTCTCTGTTAGTGCAAAAAATGTTTTGGCTATGTCCTGTTGTTTTGAAAGTGTGGATTCACGTTTATCAGGGCTTGATCTTGTTAAAATGGAAGCTCTTTGCAACTGTAGAGATAAAATTTGGGGTAGTTTTTGTGTATACTTGCTCTCTCCTCAGTTACTAATAGAATCATTTCTTTGATGTATCCTGATTGTGGAGAAGTTTCTTTTAAGTTGTTATTCAACCAAATTATTTCACCTCGTCTTCCTTTACCAACACCACCTACTCAATATAACTATTTATACCTCTTGTTTTGTTCTACAACTCTATTGACTTCTAGTAAAGTCTTTAAGCCAAATCACTTTGCACCTCTTATTTTCAAACCTATCAGTAAAACTAAAAGAAAGGCTTCTGCTTTGTTAGAAAAAGCTAACAAGAAAATTCCTCATGTTCAGGCAAAGTTGAAAGGAGAGTCTTCTACTGTTAACATTTCTAATTTTTTTCAACCAGTTTCAACCCCAGCAAGTAATAAGGCTAAAAAATTTATTTTGCCCAAATTATTTAGTACTACACAAACACAATCAACACAATCAAACACAATTAATACATAACCCAAAACAAGAACTTTTGCAATCATTTTCATTAGATTTTTCACAGCAATATCCAAATGATGTGAGATATTTTAGAGAAAAAGCTAGAAATATGAATGATTCTCAAAAGCTCCAGCTCATTCACAATGTTTTTAAACCGAATAGATCCTACCCATTTCCTAAATCAGCTGATGGTCGATCTTTTCTTTATTCGTGGCTGGAAGATTATTCTTGGTTGTGTTACTCCCCTTCTTTGGATGGTGCTTTTTGTCTGCCTTGTGTTTTGTTTGGTGATCAGTTTCGAATAAAAATACAAAAATTAAAAACTTTTAGTGAACCAATGAGATATTGGCCTGATGCTAAAGCTTGCTTCAAACGCCATATTGGTTTGAGTTCTAAGGCTCTCACCAGAGCAGGTTTGCACGAAGCACACGTAATAAATATTTGTCATTAGTTGGTCAGGCATCAGGAGAAGGACTGCAGATTGAGGTGTTGATTGATGAGCACAAACAGCAAGTCATCAGGCAAAATAGGGAAAAACTTGTATCAATAATTGATACTATTAAACTTTGTGGTAGACTTGGGTTAGCATTAAGAGGGCACCGTGATGATTCTTCATATCATCCGGAGGTTGGTTCTTACTCAAAAGGTGGTGTTGGTAACTATGTTGAATTGTTAAATTTTCGTGTTCGGGCTGGTGACACAGTTTTAGCTGATCATTTGAAAAACTGTCCAAAGAATGCTTCTTATATTTCAAAGACTACTCAAAATGATCTAATTGCTGCTTGTGGACAGGTTATCACTGAAAAAAATAACTAGTGAAATAAAAATAAATAAATTTTTTAGTATAATTGCTGATGAAGCAGCAGATTCTGCAGACAAAGAGCAGCTTTCTCTTGTGATTCGTTTTGTGGATTGCAATAGGAATGTTAGAGAAGATTTTGTGAGGTTTTTGCACTGCAAATGGGGTTTATCAGGGGAAAGTCTTGAGAAATTAATTCACAGTGCATTAACAGAACTTAAATTAAGCATTGAGGATTGCAGAGGTCAGGGATATGATGGAGCTGGGGCTGTTGCAGGGCATATCAATGGTCTTTCTGCACGCATTCTTCGTTTGAATTCTAAAGCAATCTACACCCACTGTTACAGCCATAGGTTAAATCTTGCAATATGTAATTCATGTTCTGTCCCCTTTGTCAGAAATGTTTTTTGTCAAATTAAAGAACTTTCTTACTTTTTCAATCTCTCTGATGGACGGCAAATGTTACTTTCAAAAGCAGTTGAAGACTATTGCCCACATTCAGGTAAATCAAAGTTAAAGGATGTTTGTCGAACTCGATGGATTGAGCGAATAGATGGTCTAGATATATTTCAAGAATTATTCCTTCCAATTTTTCATACTTTAACTGAAATGAGCCATAATGCTGGTCATGTGTGTAATCCAGAAACATCTTCTAAAGCTTCTTCTTTCCTAGCATTGATTTCCACCTTCAGATTTATTGTTAGCCTTGTCATTAGTAGAAATATTTTAGATTTAACACTTCCTGTTACTCAGTTATTACAAGCTAAAACCTGTGATGTTATGGATGGAATGCATTTAATTGAGTCATTAAAAAACTTGGGAATTTTATTGAGGAATGATGTTGATTTTCATCATGGTAAATGGTATAGTGAAGCAGTTTCTTTAGCTAAAAACGTAGATGTCGATGAAAAAATGCCCAGAACAGCTGGCAGACAAGTTCACAATGAGAATCACCCATCTTCTAGCGCTTCAGATTATTACAAAAAGGCTCTCACTATTCCTTTTCTAGACCACTTAAACTCTGATCTTCAGGCAAGATTTGATTTTAGTCAAATCAACGTTTATAACGGCTTTAGCGTTGTTCCATCAAAAATGATTTCGCTAATTAACAGTCTTCCACCAAACAAAAGAATTGGAAAGAGAATTTTCGTTTGTTTTCAGATTTTTACAAAGATGATCTTCCTAATCCCTTAGGATTAGATGCTGAATTGGAATTATGGGAAAAGTTTTGGACAACATATGAGGGATCATTACCGGACAGTGCAGCTTCCACACTTAAAGCTTTAGGGTTTGAAGGTTTTGAGAATATTAAGGCATGTCTACGGTTACTAGCCACTCTTCCAGTTACTTCTTGTGAGTGCGAACGCTCTATTTCAGCACTTTGCGTGCTTAAAACTTACAACAGAAGTACGATGGTTGAAGAACGCTTAAATGGACTTGCACTAATGCGAATACATCAGGAAATACTGTTGATGAGGTGATCAATAAATTTGCGTATGGAAACCGGCGATTAGAACTGAAATTGTAAAAATTTGACTCTTTAGGCTTGGTCATTATAGTTTTGACGAGAAGGAAAGAAAGAGCTTCTAATTTTTTGTATAGTCATGATATCTCATAAATCTTAGTGACAAACGTGTCACTTAGCCTTAATTTTGTATATTAAATAATTTCACAAGGGGTAATCCTCTGAGCCTGCGTGAAACCATTTTGAAATTATTTGTATGATGTGTTGCATCATTTTAATATGTCTATTCAAGTTTGAATTAGGAATATTGGATGTAGTATTTCATCTCTTTCTCGTAGCACTTTTTAAAAGAACATTGAAAACGTCAATTTATGTGTGTCATACACAGCACAATTGCTTTTGTATCTCTGTGAAAATGGTACAAATATACAACATCTTCTGTCACTAGACTTTTAATATGACCACCACTAAGGTTGTCGAAACGTCAGTCAACATCAACACCAACAGTCCTTCTAAGGACTATACTAACCCGGCGATCTACATCTTAAAATATATATGATGCGCGTTTTGATGAAGTTACCTAACATACAAGAAATATTCACCTTTTGTAAGGTCTTAATTAATGCATATGCGTTTTGATCTGGGAATAACAACAACTTTGTCTAATTGTGATACTTGTGAAGGAACAATTGACCTTATGAAAGACCAAATATTTAACTTCATCATTAACAGGGTTACTGACATTTGGAGTCATGCTCTCAAAGGAATTAATAAGTTAACTGTGTCACCAGTCAATAGCATATCTTTTCCTAAACAATAACTTTTTATAAAAGAAATCAGTTTGAGCTTGGAGTATCGTCAAAATTTATGGAAATTGAATGTTTAGGTCAGCGTTTCGACGTTTTCCTTAACGGTGGTTTGTGTTACTTTTCTGTTTAGCTCGGCAAAATAACCATTAGATTCAGATTATGTGTGTGCATATTCTTGGAGCGAGGTTAAAGGATTAGAATGACAGGGATGATGTAGAAAACTGAGCAATTTTACATCTTTGAAATGTCCCACGTTGTCGCTTTTTCTAATCAAACTCCTGTTGCTTTGTTGCAAAGGTGTGAAAGGCGAGTATCTGGCGCCTTAAAACCAGACTGCTCTCTTTTTGTTTAAGGCTTCTCATTACGTTGAGGCTGTCCATGTCGGAATTGCATTTTCACGTGGTGAGGGTGCCATTTCCTAGGCATGCTGATGAGCTCTGATATAGGGTGAAACAGTCCTTATAATTCATCATATTAACAATGTTGCGTTAGCAGAATTTTTAACTAATGCGACCACGCCCATTTATTAAAATTTTGTTCGACCACGCCCTTCCGACTAAGGAATTAAAAGTCCTGGATCCGCCCCTAGATAGCGTCAATATAAAAAAAAAGATTCATTAAAAAAAGAACTATGACTTTCTTTTCTTGCGTCTTGCAATATGTGACGTGCTGCCATTGTTATGTATATTTCTTTAGCATTTCAAAAGCGTCATAGTTTTCTTTAACTGCGTTGATATAAATCACATTTATTTTTTGTTTACAACAAGTGGAGTGTCCTATGATGTTTATCATTTCGTTTCAACGTCATCGTGCGTTCGTCAATCCATTGAAACTTTTCTTTAGTCGACGAAAGAAAAAAATTGTTTGTCGTTTAGCGTACATCTTTGGTTTGTTACGACAATTTGAATGAAATTTCATGAGCGCATTGTGGATCTTTGACGTCATTATTACATTTATGAATCGTTTGCTTATTTTACTTGTTTTTACATTTTCATTATAATATTTTCTTTCACTTAGCTACTCCAGAATTGCTCAAGCATTGTTCCAAAAAAATAAAAGCCCTGAGAGCTTACTTTAATACAACACAGTCTCACTCATTTACAATTCTTCACAAGTTCCAGTCTTCGAAGATGTACACAGAGTTTAAAAAAAACTTCGTTTGTGCAATAACTGTTTTCTGTTTTTTAGTAGGTCGTATATATTGTATGACAGGTTTTGTGCATTTTTATTTTACGCCAATTAAAAACGTAAAGATTATATACATTGCTCCTTTATTTAAAATTCTTTGCTCGTACAAAGTCAATCCCCTAATCCATGAAAGACTTGACAGAAAGATGTTGTATTTTTGGAAGTGCTACAAAGAGACAAATTTGAGCTAAGTTAAATAACAAAACACTACCTTTCAATCACTTGCATGTTCTTGTCTTAGTGGTTTTATGTGTTCAAATTACATAATGTTTTTAAAGACGTCTTTTATGTAGTTCAATATACAGACTCAAGAAGACTTCTTACGATTGTTTTAACAAAATATTCTTCTCACGATAGGTATAATCTGCAACTTGCTAAACTATCATAATTCAGTGTTAGCTGCATGAAAGTTGTTCTTTTTTATTATTTTCTAGTTTTTTTACGTGTGGAACATTTAACAATTATAACTGCACACGTTCTTTTTAAAATTCAAGTGAAGATTATAGATTGACAGAAAGATTAAAATGTAATTGCATTTCATTTACATCTAACTTTGACAAACTAAGACTTTTTCTCTAAAGCTATAACTAGCTTATACACTTCCTTCCACAGCGTTACAATACCATCTTTTTTTGACAAATGTTTCGATATATAGTTGCTGTTTTGTTGCATGTTCATTGGTTATCTATAAGCAAAGATCATTGTGATATGCGGGAACCGAAGGAGTTTTACTAAACCTCACGAGGATTAAGGGAACATTTAGTTACTTATATCTCTGAAGGCATGCGTTTGATTTGTAATAGCATGTTTGGAGAGAGTACAATTGATGAGATGCTCTTCTGTTGACAATAATTTTACTAAATTTTGAGTTCACTGATTTGAATATTGGCAACCATTGATGGTGTTCAAAACAATATATTGTTCAAGGTAACTTCTCAAATTATATAAAAACAAACAGTTTCTAAGTTTTGAGTGAATATGCACTGATAAATTAAAGCGTCCCATCATGCACAAGCTATGTTTAATGAGGACGTTCTT